CTTTATGTTCTTGTAATCATATTTTTTTTATATTGGCGGTCTGTGAATGGCCACCCTAAGTGTAGCTATGGTTTGTTAAAAAGAGAATGAAGTAATAGACATTTATGAAAGAATTTCAGACAAGATAACTAGTGGATAGTAAAGGAAGAGCTAAATTCAGCTGATTAGTTCTGTTACAAATCATTTGACCAGCTCTAGTGATGACTGGCAAATGTTTGCTTTAAAATCTCTTTTATCAGTAGATAATCTTCAATTCCCCAGAAAGCTGATTGGTTGACAGAAACCTCTATTAGATTTTGAGGCACGTAGCACATAATACATCGGAAGTAATATAGAGAGAACACACAAAGAGTTGTACAAACTTTTTCAAGGCATACTCCAACTCATTCTTTTCATTATCGGCTTCTTGCAGCTGGGAGTAAATTCTGACCAGGAACTCTTCAAAATTGGAAAGTAGATGAGGTTCATCTTTTCTCAGCTGCGACCAAAGCTGTCTTATATTGTTCTCACTGAGGGATGAAAACAAATGAGAATAAGGCATATGTTAGGGGATATGATTTTTCAGGCTGGAGTAAATGTTTTGCAGCAGCCTAGTAACACAAAGTAAATTTCAGCAGCTCACTGCTCAGAACATGAGGTTTGTTATTGGCAAGGGCTATTTATACAAGTATTGTTTGTGATTGGCCTTTGTGCAGGTGCTAAGGATGGGATGGTTGGAGGAAGACACAGAAGGATTATTTTAGTTGCTTGTCTTGGCAAGGGGGTTTTGAATCCCAATGGAGCCTGATTCTGGGATGCAGGTGCCAAAAGTAGCAGTTAGAAACCTACATCCTTCTGTGACTTTAGCCCTAAGGGGTTTGCCCAGGGTCACACAGGATGTCTGGGGCAGACCAAGGAATCCCCTGTTCCAGGCTGTGTCCCAGGGGACCATCCTTTGTCATCCCTATTGTTTTATCTTGCATAACTACAAACTTAGCTGTGTGACAGTTAAGGCTTCGATATCTCCTAGCTCCTAAAGTTAGTTATTGGGTCCTCTCTAAATACAAGCATCATTCGGAGTATTGCTGGAATCCCTAGGCAGTGATATAAAAACTCTTAGACTGTGTACACAAGGAAAGGTCAAGCTTCCTTTTATAGTGAACACCACAGAAACTATATATAATTAGTGGCTGCAGAAAATTGATCATTAGGCTGCAGAAGTGATATATGATTTATTAGAAAATGTACCTCGTGATGCTCGGCTCCTAAAATCAATTAATTTTTGTTTATTGGGAAATAAAATGAAAATGTACATGCTTTGTTAAATCATTGTTTTCAGGTAGGGGCTGCCCTGGGGAGAGAGGACTACCTCAGCCTTCTCTCACTGCAGCAGCTTGGGACCGGTGAGAAGCACCTCTCCATGGCTATGGCAGCTCCAGAGCATACAGCCAGGGCAGGGGTGCATATTCCCCAGCTGCGGGAGGTCCAGATTCATCTGCCCCTCGCATTCCTCAACCAGAGTAAGGAATGGAGCAAACTGTACTTCCCCCTCACTCCTTGAAGAAGGGAAACAGCCAGCAATGTTCTGTACAAATCAGGCCGAAGCTTCAGCCCCCACCCTTTCCTAAAGGGCTTATAGGGGTGAGAGACTCACAGATGGGGGCAGTCCCAGATGGGGGTTGTGGGATGTCACGCCCCCAGCCTGTCCTTTTCATCTGCCTTGTGATTCTGTCCCTTTTCTGTGTTGTTTTATGAGAAGCAAACCCATTCTAGGCATAGCCCATTTTCCTGGCCCAACTAAAACCCTGACCTTGTTTTAAGTTATGATAAGAGAAAGCTGTATACCAAATTTGGTGGTCCTAGCTCTTACCATTTAAGAGACGTTCCTCAACAGACTGCTAGACAAACTCTCTCAAATATATAATAGATTACTGCTAATTCAGGAGCCAATCCTGTTCTGATGACAATCAGTGGAGAGATGCTCGCTTCTTCCAATTGAGTTTGGACAGGTGAAAAATTCATTAAAGCCTTTTTCAATGATAGCCAATGAGACTTAAGCATCTAAGTTCCAGCTTGGGTTCCTAAGTCACTTAGGCACTTGAAAATTTTATCCTTGGTTTTTGCTTCACCGATTGTGTTTGACCAGCTTAGTTCCAGAGTGACATTGTTTCAGCATTGAAGCATTTCATTTTCAGAAGTGTCACATTTCAAAACCAACAGTGCTTTATTTAAAAATTAGAAGATTTACCGGGCGTTGCTTGGATCCTTAACTCAATTAATTTAAACCTTACCTTGCCTTGGTTTAAGTTATGATAAGAGGAAGCTGTATACTGAATTTATACAGTCCTAGCTCTTTCCATCTAGAAGGAGTTCTTGAACAAAAAGACAGACACACGGACAGACAAATTCACACACAGATGAACAAACTCTCTCAAATATGTAGTAGACAATTTTGCCAACAATGAAAGATAGGACTGTTGCAAAACACAATAGGATATAAGACACTTTCAGATTTGCCAACATTCCTTTGAATTTCTTATTCTGTTTTTGTGACCTACTCTATTTTATATGAACATTAAAAGCTCCATCCTAAATAGTGCAGGTGTGGAGTGGTGCTGGTATAAAGTCATGGTAAACAGTGGTGAGAATGTCAGAAAAAGCAGGGGAATCTGATCCTGCAATAATAGCAGCCCTGCTTCACAGCTGCCAAACTACTCCTATTAAAGGGAGTAGGGTTTAGAGAAGCTACCTAAAAACCTATCTAGAGAAGATCACTAAGACCACATCTTGTGAGACTTGTTCATTCTCCTGTCTCTTGTCACATGTGCTCATGCAAATTGGACCACGGGCCTCTAGCGTGCTTTTGTGGCTCTTCACTGGAATATAATTAATTACACTTAGTGCTCAACCATACATGTGCACTTGCATAGCTTCCATTCCCGCTTGAACTAAAATATAAGCTTATTTACCACTTAAGAATACCCTAGAGGAGCAGAGAGAGCCATATTGTAAATTAATATTCTAAACTTTACTTTACAGAATAAGGTATCTGGGACTGAGCCAAAGCCCACTGAACTCAACAGAAAGATTCCCGTTACTAACATTAGTGGAATTTGGCCCATATGCCATGCTGCTGACTAATCACAAGGGAGACTCTTGCATGTCCAGGATATTGTTTCAGCCAATTTTCTGCATGTCATTCCATTAACTTATGAATATATCTTGTAGATGACCTTGTCTCAGTGATATGCAGCATAGAACAGTGCAATATGAAACACAAAACACTTCACCATTATTCTAACTCTTAAAAATGAAAGTAAGACACAGCCTATTTGTGTAATCTCAGATAGGAAAATTGTCTTTTAGAAAATAAAAAAGTCAAAGATAAGGTCTGTTTTCTAGCCCTCTGCACAATTTCTTTACATCTTGTTTTCTCCACAAATGGGAGCTTTCAGAGAGTCACTAACCTCATGGTTTGTGTTTAAAATGCCCTTTCCCTCACCCTGGGACATGTAAGACGAGATGGGTATTTGAAATGTAAAACGAATGTTTTAAACAATAAACATGTTCCTAAAATTGTCTTATTGTACAGTGTGTATCTAGTGATTACTAGATAAAGCCCTTTAAGCTTCAGTGGAAGAAAAACAAACACACTAATTCAAAATAATCTGGATAGATCAGATTTAAAATGTTAGATGTCAAAAGAAAAAAAAAAAGAATCCTACCATTCAGCATTCTGACAACTTTCTATTTCAGAGCATTAATTTTATGTGTTTGACAAATGACACACATGCTTAGATTGTAAGCCCTGTGGGCTGTCATTGTCTTTTTGTTGTATGTTTGTACAGCACCTAGCACAACGAGGTCCTGCTGTACAACCGGAGCTCATAGGCGCTACTGCAATGTAAATAACAACAGGTACACAATTATGAAAGTACTAGTGTTTTTTTGTTGTTGTTCTTATTTGATACAAAGGTAGTTAAGCATATTATTTGCCAAAAGAATGCTTTCGAAATAGTCTTTACAGACAGTCCCCGGGTTACGTACAAGATAGGGACTATAGGTTTGTTCTTAAGTTGAATTTGTATGTAAGTCGGAACTGGCTCCAGATTCAGCCGCTGCTGCTGAAACTGACCAGGGGCTGACTACAGGAAGCTGGAGGCAGAATTGCTCTGCCCCCAGCTTCCTGGAATCAGCCACTGATCAGTTTCAACAGCGGCTGAATCTCGAGCCTGGGACA